GAATGATAGATAAATAAATATAGATGGAAATATAAACCCGTTAATTTCGACAGAGAATATGTGTAATATCGTATGAGTAATACAAGTTATTCGCACAAAAATATTTTTCGAGGTGATCTATAGCGGAACGCAAGCTGAGAACACTTTGAGAAGAAGTATTTGAACTTTACGTGGATACCACTGAAGAGGAAATGAATTTCACAGCTAGATACAAGAACCTTGCTGGGCCTGATTTCAGAGTTTGGGAGCAGATTAATCAAAAACCAACAAAGACCGCACTTTTCTTTATTAAATGTCTTCGTTATATTACGCATGAAAAGAGCAACAATCATTTTATCAGTATTGTTATATTATATTTCCCTTCATTTGTCAAAACTAACTTTTAAGAATTATTTAATATTTAACAAGTTCAAAACTCTATTTCAAATTGGAGTTACATTGAAATGTCAAAAGTGATTATTCGGTTACTCTTTCGCAAAAAAATATGTAAGTAAAGAAAAACGAATCATGAAACTATTAAGTTCGCGCAGATAATTTTAAATTTCCGAAAATCCTCGATGTCTGTGCATTAACCCACGACAGAGACAACATTTGGAATCTCCATTTGCAAACAGGGGCTTCTGCGCTTGGAAGACCAGCTAAACTATATTCAACTGCCACATTTTACCCTATTTCTATCATCATCATCTTGCGGCGTCAGCCGAGATTGAACTCACTAATACTTTGATTGGTGTAGTTCATAATCTTGTCAAATAGCTGAATTCTTGATGCTTCGCTAGGTCTATCAAGTGTGTTTTTATCGTGACACCATCACTAAATGGATTGCCAACCAAGGCTCAGAGAGACTCCATTCACCCTCCTATAACCTTTGGCCAAACTAAGCTTGTGTTGCCAAGCCATGCCGATGAAATAGTTTCAGATTTTTCAACGTGCAGGAAAGTAAGGGCTTGGAATCTATATATAAAATTCCGTGACTTCCGTTAGTCCGTCTGTCTGTCACGCCCTCTAAAATAACCTTACATCGACAGATGGATACCAAATTTTGGGACTAATTACAAACAGTTAAGGAGGTACAAAGTACAGTTGGTTTTACTAGGATGTGTAGATTATTACTACAAATTTTCATTAATTTCTTTGGAAGAATTAAAAGTCCTATTATTTGACATGCAATATACTCCCACTATTTCAAAAACAATATATTTCATTAAATTAATATATATAAACAAGAATTGAATTATATGTTCGATCTGCTTTTACGAGAACTGTAAAAAATCACATAGCCAAACGCTTCAAAATATTGAAATTTGACTCCAGAAAAAAAATATTTAAGCATTGCCAGTTATATATCGCATGCTCAAGGGTAAGAAACCATAAAAAATTTTTTTTCGCTTTTAAAAAGGAAAAAAGGAAATAAATACATTTTCTTAAAAGATATTGTTTACCATGACATCCTATAAATTTAAATTATATTAAAGAAATTAGTAAACTGCGCAGTATGATATATATTTCTGAGATGAAGTATTTTGTACACTATTTACACTATTCGGACTATTGTCCTCATCTTTGTCGCCATATTTATTACACCGTTTCGGCCGTTGTACGCTCCGGCCTTCTTCAGGTGTTTGGAATGTCGGACTGAAGCCTTTATTTCGCTCACTTGGGTAGACTGTTCTAGTTCCACGTGCCATGTCTAATGGATGTCAGTTATCTGTTATCTCCTGTTAATTCCCCCTCTCCGAGTTCTCCACCACCATAACCAGGTATTGAACTCAAACTCTTTGGGTCCTGTCACTAGATCTAACTAATGCCTTTATACACTGTGCCATGTGTTCTTGAGGATACCCAGAGAGAGAGAGAGAGAGAGACAGACAGACAGAGAAATATATATATATATATATATATATATATATAGAGAGAGAGAGAGAGAGAGAGAGAGAGAAATTTGTAGGCATCAATATATATATATATATATATATATATATATATATATATAGTGGGGAAACAAATATTCGTGCAGAGAGAAATTTTAATTCATTGTATTTCTAAATAAATGAAAAATACACTTTTTCATATAATTAACTGTACACAGATATATAATAACTAGATACGCATAGGAAACAAAAATGATTTAATACTAATAAATCCCATTCGGATAATACAAAAAGAACCAAACTCTTCTTGTTCTCAATTATGATTTGCAGATTTTAGGTGATATTTTATTCCATTCTACTTCCTATATAGACTTCAGATCCGGAATTTTTGTTGGAGCTCTCGATTGGATTTGAATTTTCAAATAACGCCACAGATTCTCGATTGAGTTTAAACCTGAGGACTGACTTTGACCATTTCAGAATATTTACTTTATATCCTGAAAGCCATTTCTTCGTAGATTTTGCGGTGTGCGTAAAATCATTATTTGCGCGTAAGTGAATAGAACGACCCAGACTAGAATTGGAACACGGCTCTCATTCCTTGCTGTTATACATTATACTATTCAATATTACAGCGCCTGGTATTCCCAAGTGGTCGCCCATCTTAATACTAATAAGGCTCAACTTTGCTTAACTTCGGTAATCGTACGATCAGTGTTGTAAATGATTAGTACAACGGGGCCTAGGATGTATAGCGCAAACGGAAATTTTGCTCAGAGACACAAAAGACAGGAAATTGTGGAGATCTATAGCCCCCGCACGTTCTGAAGGGATACGGTACATAGACGAAGAATAATATGTTAAAATTTCTAACGTAGTTTCTTGAGGCTCTCTCAAGGTTAATCAAAGTTTTCCTCCACATAAATATTAATAGTGGGTAACATTAAACAATATGTTTTTTTTTATGCTGTTTTTTGCCTCAGTAGGTAGGTTTTCGACACCTGAGAAACCGGCATAATATAAACATCTACATAGATTTTCCTCTGATATTATTGCGATGTAAATATATCGAATTGTATCAGAGCTTAAATAGTCTGAATTAACTGAATAATTTAGCATGTCTTCCCTCAAAGGTTCCGGCGCGAATTAGAGCTCTAAAACGAATTAGCGAGCTTTTAAAGTCAAGGAGTAGCGATAAAAGCCATATATGATTTATTGGATATCCATTAAGTTGAATGTCTCAAGTCCTTCATGTCTCAAATCGCACATGCGCAGAAGGTTTGTTGTTGTAGCCTGCGGTCAATTTCTAAGCAAGTCATTCGCCTTGAAACCCATGAGAACATTTGCCCACGCATTGGGTCTCTTCTTTCCCTCTCGTTTCACCTGTATTTGTCCTGCTTATATATGTATCGATTTACATATATAGGTAATCAGAGCGGCTAGCGGAAATAGAAAATGAAAATGAGCGAAATAACAAGCAATAAAGTCGTTGTAACGATAAAACGAACGCCTTTAAAATGTTTTAATAACAGTCTGACAGTTACAAAAAGAAAAAAAAACAGCTTAACGCGAAAGAATTAACACAGTAAGCGGAACCACTTGAACTCAATACGGATATTATTAGATTTGTATAGATCATATATATATATATATATATATATATATATATATATATATATATATATATATATATATACAGAAAAAAACAAACAAAAATCTTAATATGCAATTATGCTGTATTAATGTTGATATAAAGTCGACGTCGGACGTTTCGGTCTATTTAAAACCATCTTCATGGTCATTTTCAATTAAACATAATTAACATTAGAAAATATAAAAATTCAACACGAAAAGACAATGGACATAAGAGCACAACTAATCCAAACAGATAACTGAACTTTGTATATAAGATCAGCGTTCCGTTTAAATATGATCACGTCGTCGTCACGTGGGCGATGTTGTGAAAACGTATTGGAAGATGATTTCCAAATATTAAAATATTAAAAAAGTCGATTGAACTATTTTATATAAACAGTTCAAATCCCTTCCGTTGATATAGGAATACGTAGAGATCAATAGGTTCTTATATATTCCTACAAGCTTGAAGTCCTCCACGTTACAAAGCAAATCAAAAAATGATTTCAAAAACGATGGAACAATTTTTAAAAAAACAGTTCGATAATAAATCCTTTCCTTACCTGATCAATACACTTCAAGCTTGTACGAAAATATAAGAATCTATTGATCAAGTAAAGAAAGGAAACGGCTGAAACTGTATTCGTATAATACAAAAAGAATACATCATTTTCATTTAATACTTTGTAGAATAGCCATTATTCAATTCTACTGCAACCAACCTCTTCTTGTAGTTCTCAATGATTCGCAAATTTTAGATGGCATTTTGTTCTATTCTACTTCATATATGGACTTCAGATCCGCAATGTTTGTTGAAGCTCTCGATCGGATTTGAAATTTCAAATAACGCTACAGATTATCGATTGGGTTTAAACCTGTGAACTAACTTGGCCATTTCAGGATATTTAACATTATTTTCAGCAAGCCATTTCTTCGTAGATTTTCGGTGTGCTTAAGATCATTATCTTGTCGGATGATCCAGTCAGGAGGGAAATTCAAGATTTTCAACCGAAATCAGTAAATTAACTTCCAAAATATTTTGATATGATGCGGCATTCATTCTACTGTCTATTACTGATATGTTCCCAGTACGTTTTACAGAAAGTCATCCCTAAGCCATGATGCTCTATCCACCAAATTCCATTGTTGGAACTGCCTTCTTTTGTCTGAAGTCGTCGCCATTTTTCCTTCATACATGATTTCTAGAATTACGTACAAACAACTCAGTTCTGGTTTCATCGTTCCGTAATACTCTTTTCAAATACAATTTTTCCTTATCTTTATGCTAACAAGTTTTAACCTAGCATCTTTGTGTAATTTTAATAGCAGTGGAATTTTTTGAGGGGGGGGCGTGACTTTAGATTGTTCCTTTTGAATTTCATTGCTTATTGTCCGTTTAGTGACCCTGATTCCTGATAAAAGAATAACATCCTGCAACTCTTGGATTGTTTTAATTTGATGCATCAATTTTCTCGAAGCTCATGAAGAAATCTCCGGTGGACCACCTGTTGTTCTTTGCTTTCAACAGTTTTGGGATTTTTATGCCTTGGAATGAATGAACTAATGGTAGTAAATGGAATATTCAGGTTGACTGAGATTTTCCTGTAGCTTTTGCCTCCTTCCAGAACTTAACAATCAGTACTTTTCGCGAAATTGACAATTCTTTAGCACATGATGATAACCTTCTTGCACGAATCTCAATTACAAAATTTTTTGTTTATATTTTTAGTTTAAAATAACATTATTGGAATATTCTCGGATATTCCACTTGAATAATTTAAAGTATTAAAGCAATTTAAAAGTTTTAAAATCTGAAATTTGCATTGTACGAATAGTTTTTACGTCCATTAAAATGAATAAATCGGATTTATTTCTATTAAATCAAATTAGTTACTTTTCTATGCATATTTAGTTATTATGCATTTTTGTACAGTTAATTAAATGAAAAGTATATTCATTCATTAGTTTTAAATAAATAAATAAAAAATTTCTATGTGTACAAATATTTGTTTCTCCGCATTGTTTGTGAGTGTGTGTGAATGTGCGTGTGTTTATATATATATATATATATATTATATATATATATATATATATATATATATATATACACATAGCATATCAGCTTCCAGGAAACTGACAACCTGACACCGGCACATGAGATTAGATTATAGTGGTGAAGGCTTCGTGCAGGACCATCCACACTTTTTTGAAGGGACGAATAAAGAGACCTGGTGCACTGAAAGCCACAAGGTTCCCAAACGACCCTCCGCAGGTTTTGAATTCAGAGTTGTCCTTCTCCTAGACCAGTTGCCATCCAAGGCTATAGAACCCAGTTTGTCCTGCTATTTTACCCATAGCTGGAGGGAGAGGAAGAGGATTCATACCTTTCCAAGGGTATTCGCACGTATATATATATATATATATATATATATATATATATATATATATATATATATATATATATATTGGATAATGGTATATATTTTTATATGTTAAGAACACTTTTAGGGAAAATTTATGACAAAGAAGAATTCATCCGTCATCGGATAAAATTTGATATGTTTGGTAGGCCTACACATGCGCATGACAGAAGAGCACTGGAAATTTTAGAATTTTTTTCTTTTACCTAGCCTAAAGGAAAAGTAAAATACTAAATGACTTCGGCTAGTTAAAACAAAATGATAATCCCAGCACTCTTTTGTCGTATAACATCTCGCAAGTTCGGGTCTAGAGGTAACTGGCGGCTCTGCAAAGTGTGCTGAACAACAACAATTCCTCAAAACACCCTCTATTCAATCAATACAAAGTCATCTAGAGCGGATAAGTTTGAATGCGTTGCTCGGAAATTCTCTTCCAACTCAGCACAGTACTACTTTGGAGTACCCATACCTGATTTCCCGCTAGAACTGAGGTTTTATTGAGTGATATCCGTTACTAATCAGGCACGCCAGCTCTAAATTAAACTTCCATTAGTCTAGTTGAGGCCACAGGATCGCAGCCTTCGTCCTAAAGTAATGTGCTGCCGATCTGGCTCCAGTTCTCTCCAAACTCTATATCTATGGCATCACTGCTTCCTACATGTTGGAAGTACTCATCTGTAGTTCTTGTTTTTAAGAAATCCGGAGAACATTATGACCCTTCTAACTATCGCCGTATTAGTCTCCTACTGCTTTTCTGCAAAGTATTCCATACTTCAATAAATGCTAAAGTGGTTCGACATCGTAGCTCTCACGACCTACTCTCTGACAAACAATATGGTTTCCGTTTTGTCCGGTCTACCGCTGACGTATTTACGGCCATTACTGAATATATATATATATTAAGTTCTTTGTAATAACAGCAAAGCTCGACTTGTGGCACTAAAGAGTTTGGCATGCGGTTCTTCTACATCTGTTTGATTTAATCCAATCATTCCTATCAAATCGTGAAATAAACGTCTTCATGGACGGACTCGCTTCCAGATGCTTTCACACGAACGCGGGTTTTCTCCAAGGCTCTATCCTGGGTCTTACTCTGATTCTGAAATTCATCAATCATCTTCCTGATGTCATCAGTTCCCAGGTAAGTATTTATGCAGATGACACGACCATTTTCTCTAGTCTCAATAGAAAATTCGTCATAGCTGACAAAGCTAATGTGGTGTCTACTCTTGAAAAGGCCCTCCAACTAGTGATTAATGGACCATGAAATGGCTCGTAAATTTTAATACCTCTAAACCTAAACTGCTTTCATTTAACCATCATAGAATTATTCTACTGGCCGCCATCGCCATGGCTGATGCTCGACTACAGGAGAGCGTCTCCCTGCGCCTCACGTTTTCAGCTGACTTGAAGTGGAAGAACTACATTGAATCAATAGCTGTATCTATTGCTAGGAAATTTACTTCATTGTGTCGTGCTAGAAGGTCATTCTCGTCAAAGTCATCTTGCATGATTACAAATCTCCCATTCGCCCGTTCATGGAATACTATTGCCTTATTTGGTCTGGTGTCGCTGGTGTTCATCTCGATGTTCTTGACAAAAGTCATAGCAGGACCGGCAATGTAATCCATCCTGAGTTGGCATCTCAGTTTCTG